ACAGGCGACGCTTGAACGAGCTTTCCATGTAGGTGAAGACTCTTCAAAGTTTAAGCTAATTAATAGAAGCCTTCAACCCAAAAAATTATTGTCGAGAAGGACGATATCTATTTCAACTTAATAAAGGAACCAGGAAACCAAGTAGCTTCGCTCGATTTGTTGACAGCGAGTTCTGAATGCCGCTCTTTCCTCCTGGTTACAATCTGTAGGAAGTGTTAAGCCCTTGATTGACGTTTACAATACGACATTCCCAGAAAATATATATTCTCTCATTAGCTGAACATAGCGATGAGCACATGAAGGTCTTGTACTTAGGGCTTTCATTGACGTTTTTTTCAGTCCGTCATGATCGTAGCCTGCGAACACCGCCCACTTTTGGCGACGTGCGGCGTGAAACAAAAGCCAGAAATCCCTTGCGTGTTCGCACCGCAGACTTTTTCGTGCGAAAGCTCATTCACACTTTGCTATTATGTGATTGGTCTGTTCAACAGAGCGCAAACAAACCATAAACACAAAAGGAAAAGAATGTGGTTCGGATGCGAGCAGCCGTTTCTTTGGGGCAGCGTTGCGTGACATCCCAAAAAACGGCTGCAGAGGAGACTATTTTTGCTGTGCAGAAAGTTATTTTTGAAACTGCTCACCCCCCTTCTCTAAAAGAAAACTATTGGTCCGTCTCTTACCACAATATGTTGTTATTGTCATCTAAGGGACTATCCTCATGTTACTCATGTCATATAAAACCAAACTTGCAAAGATAAAAATGTAAATAACAAGCAAACTCGAGATGTTCTCATTTCATATTTACTGCTACTTTCTTTTAATAACCCAAATCATTTTAGTTCATAGAGTTAAGACGTATCCGACTTAAATTCAAAATTACACATCTCAGGAAGTTAACACATAACCATTTTAGAATTAAATTCACAGTACTAATAACCAATTAACCAGTTCACATGAGTATAACATTCTGTCAGAACAATTTCCAGGCAGACATGAGCTTTCCACCTGTTAAAATAAAGAACCAGCCAATATTTCTGTTCTGACCAGTATTTCCGAAATGCTCGCAATATTGAATTACAAAAGTCTTACACTATTTTCAAGAAGAACGAGGAGAGGTGACGAATCTGGCGATGACTGAAAACGAGCTACTTGAAACTTCTTCCTTTGGAAAGGATTTCTATTTCGTTAAATTTTTTCCCTTTAGAGGAGACGAGATTTATTTTTGTCCCTTGCGCGTCACGCAACGTTGACAATGTCACGCTCTTCTTCCCATGGAGACGTTTGCGTGACAAAGCAAGTTGAAAACTGAACTAATGTAGTCACGCCACAACATGCATAGCAAAACTAAAGCTCCGCAACAGAAATAATTAACAATAGAAATAATTAACAACAGCACAAAACTATACATTAATCTTCGAAGACTGTTGTCATTTAATTCATATGATGGGAAAAACGATGAAACAAAACCGCAGGAGTCGCCGACTCCCGCAAAACACAGCCAATGTAATCAAAAAAATAACTGCGTATAGTTGAAAAAAAGAACGTCTTCAAATTCATAGAACCGTTCTGCCTCCTGAACTGCCAAAATAATCCTGCCCCTCGAGCGATAAAAACAGAGAAGCAGCGATTGCAACACCATTTTGTAATTGTCATCATATAACCATGGAAACAAAGGACAGGTGATGCGCATGACTGGAGGATGTTCCGCTGACCCACTGGAGTGTGTATTATAGATATTGTTTATAGCTTCTCTTTGGATGGGATCCAAATGACTGGCCCCGATTGCTGACGTATAACTTCCTTGGATTTAGTGTAGATTTCGTCGTATGTGTCACCTTGAACAACCGCTGGAAGAAATAGAAAAGAAAACGATCTCAAATTTATTCTTGCAACAAAGTACTGTTCAGTTGACGAGTCACAACGACTGTCCCTTCAAAATGTCATACAGTACCACTTACAAGTACTGCTCACTAGCTTTCAGTTGAATGGTTATACACTACGATTTCATCCACAAACTTAGAGAGAGTTAGAACCACGTTGTACAGCGTAATAAACGGTACCACACAAAGGAACTGTTCAATAACTTTCATTTGAATGGTCACATGCTAGGGTTTCATACGCAGACTGAAAAGTTAGAACCACCTTGTACAGCATAATAAACAGTGCCACATGAAAGTACTGCACAGTAGCTGTCATTTGAATGGTTACACACTGGGGCTTCATCCACAGACTTAAAGTTAGAACCACCTTGTACAGCATATTAGACAGTGCCACATGAAAGTACTGCTCAATAGCATTCATTTGAATGGTCACACACTAGGGTTTAATTCACAGACCTAAAAGTTAGAACCACCTTGTACAGCATAATAAACAGCACCACATGAAAGAACAGCTCAATAGCTTTCATTTGAATGGTCGTCACACACTTGGGTTTCATCCACAGGCTTAAAAGTCAGAACCACCTTGTACAGCATAATGAACAGTACCACATGAAAGTACTGCTCAATAGCTTTCATTTGAATGGTCGTCACACACCCGGCCAGAATGACTCAAAATACCGCGACTGAGCTCATTTAAGATCTCAGGGACTACATCAGTGCAGAATAACATGTGATAAGTATGTGCTGTACTTACCTGTGAAGTACTCTCCAAATTCCTGCTCCAGTTTAAGAGCTCTGTCATATGTCTTCTGCGCCTGTTCCTCGGTCAGCCTTTTATTAAGTTCCCGGATGGAATCCACGGATTTTGGTTTTAAAAAGATCGCTATAGGATACAACGTCGCTACTTGAAGGCGCTTGATGGCGTAACCACTCACGTCCAAAATACAATGCTTACTCTAAAGAAAAAGATTTAGAAAACGCAATAAGTTAGAGATAGGAAGTGCACAACCTGAAGTTGAGCTAACATTCCAAGTTTCGTTTAGCATGAGTATCCCCTTAGGAAGTTTTGTTTTATAGACAAAGCTCGGTAATGAACACAACCTTTCTGGTCTCTTCAAAGAAATATCGCATTTTGAGTGATCATGGAGGAGTCAAGTGGAGAGAGACAGCAAGAGGGGGGGGGGGGGTGGGTGGAACTACTTACAGAAATGAAACTGAGTAAAATATGAAATGGCCGCCGCAGCACTTTTAGGAGGGATATTGAGCAATAAGAGATTGTCAGTCACAGTTAATTTGCTGTTTGAAATTGGCATCTCTCAGGGGTGAAAATGAATTTAGTCACAGTCACAAATCGCGATTCTAGACCATTTAGGGTTTCTTTTCCAAATGTCGGACAATCAGCCCCTCATTTGTATTGCAGAGTTCCCCCCCCCCCCTTCTTTCGCCGGGTTGTATTCGTCACGCACGAGCGTGTAGATTTCCTTTCGCCAAGCAAATATGGTGGCTGGCTCGTACGCGACGAGAAGACGTCAGCATTCCAGGAAAAATGGCTTCCACAAGGGATCAAACGGGTTCACGAGCCAAGAGAAAAACTACGCTGCTGAAATGCTGGATGAGTTTGAGGAGACACCTCTTTATTGCGCCGTGATGACCTACATGTCTTACTTCTTTCTGATAATTTTCGGCTATATGCGTGACTTCATGCGTAAATATGGCTTAGAAAAATCCAAGGCAGTCAAAGAAACAGGCAATAAGGTAGGAAAATAACTTCCACGGTAGGTTGCACTAAGATTCACAGTGTAAGTGGTTGGAGCTTCATAGCCAAAACAGTGAGTGAAATCGTCTTGACACGGCTACACAATGACGCTACCCTCGATTGCGTAAACAATAAGCTGAAACTCTAAACTCAACCGGTTTGCGGTGCAGGAAACAAAGAGAAAAAACAAAGAGCCGGGAAACTATATAAGCTTACCGCTAAAGCTGACTTTCCCTCTACATTTGAGGAAAATATTGCATTCTAGCATGCTTGCATGTTTCGTTATCAAAGCGATCGAAGATAATTTTTCTTGATCATGTGAAGAATTTTTTTGGCGGGCTTCGAAGACAGTCTTGCCAAAAAGGTCTTCATGGCTGTTTTCAAAGGAGTCCACTGAATTAGCTCGAATTAGTGTTTTTGCGTGAAAAGTTAAACTGTCGTAAAAATATTGATTACATCTCTGTTGTGACACAAGCTATGCATGCAATTTCGAAATTTCTATGCAAAAATTATTCCACCTTTCTGAACTATGGACCTTTTCCTGCTAAACGCATGCGTAAATGCTTTCTTTGGTGGCGTGATCTTCGTAATCAGCTGATCTTTGTTAGCATTGCACGTGTTAACGCGAACCTTGTGCATAATTAATACAGAATACGTTTTAGAATTTTAGAATTTTAATTTTAAATTTCAATTTAGAATTTCAGCTGAACACTCAGACTCACTTCAGATCGTCAAAATTTCCTCGTTTTTCCACCCTTTTACACGGTATTACGAATTTCTTCAGCTTTCTTGTTTTGATATATAGTGCTCAAAATGGGTCAACATTGAGCCAAAAACTTCTTTTGTCGCTCGAGGCAATTTTTCCTGCCTGCAGCCCCGGCGGGGGGGCACAGCCATATATGGGCTATATAGGTATGTGCCGCTGTGAAGGGTATGGTTTCCAAGCAGTTTACTCTAGGATAGGGAATATAAATCAGAGCGTTTGGGTCTAGAATAGGGTACAACTTTTCACAAAACTGACTAGTTGGTTGAAGATTTTATCTAGGCTAAGGAAACCAGGAATTGCCACTCAAAAATATAAAAAAATCAAATCGACAAGGTTACATTTACGCAAATCAGCCTCAACAGTGTCGATAGATGAGGGGATTTAGGGAGTTTAATCTAGTATAGGGTAGCAAATTCAGCTGAACTAGCTCTGGTATAGGCTAAGGGTTCCAGGGTCCCAGCGGCACATCCCCACCCAGAAATTCCCAAAGTAACCCCCCCNTATAGGGTAGCAAATTCAGCTGAACTAGCTCTGGTATAGGCTAAGGGTTCCAGGGTCCCAGCGGCACATCCCCACCCAGAAATTCCCAAAGTAACCTCCCCCCCCCGGGCCTGCAGGTGATCATGCAGTTTGTTAGGACAAAAGTTGCAAGAACAATTTTCTACTGAAAACCGCCGGCTTTCCGTTTGTGTGGACGAAAAACGTTTTGAAAACAATGCTTTTCGAAAACGATGACGTTACGATAACCATGATATCCCCTGCCCGAGTTTTCCTCAAACACAAATCCAAAATGACCGTATTGTCGCGTTTTTAAATTTCTCCGGCGTAGTGTCAGGGATGGAAAACATTTGATGCGTTCTCAAATTCCTCGGACAGGGGCCTCCAAGCACTCACACAGTTCCTCTTTTTTTCTTTGTCGTGTAAACAAGGCAGCTAGGGTTACCCGAGTAGGCGGGTTGCCCTATCTGCGTGCAAGGGTTACCCTGGCAAACGGGTTAACTTTTTCCCCTGTGAACACTCCAGGTAGGGTTAACCCTTTGAGTGTAACCGCGCATTAAGTTTTCTTGGGTTCTAGGGTTACCCTACATGTGAAATTTTGCCTGTAGACCCGGGCTACCTAGTGCTCTTCAGCTAGGGTTAACCCGCTTGCTAGGGTAACCCTCCCTCCTTGTAAACAGGCCTTAAAACCTGTTTATAGCTTGAAACACTTGGAGCAAGACTTTTTGCTCAAATCTGAGGGATTTATTTTGATATTTCAGGGCTTCGTACCACTCTACTCTGACTTTGAAAGTTTCTACACGAGAAATCTTTACACTCGTGTAAGAGACTGTTTTAACAGACCTATCTGTAGCGTACCTGGTGGAGAGATCGATCTAGTGGACAGGCAATCACATGACTGGAACTGGACCTTTAGGTATGCGGCAGAGGGAAGGAAAAAAAAAATCCCTTTTCCTTAAATCCCTTTTCCGGGTCCATGACCACGCACTCACTTATTAGGCTGTCACAGCCCTTCACTATGGGAGGAAAATAGCACCCTGCTCGTAGTCGCCATGGCCAAGTTTGCTAATTACCAGTTGCCCTTTATCCAATCTCTTGCAAACTGGATAAAACAGCTTTTTCCCAGTTATGAACTCGTTTATTTCCAAAGCGCCCTTTCTTTTTCTTTAATATTGCCTATAAATTACTGGCCTCCCTTCTGTTCTCTATCTTATTTTGGGTAAACAAAAGATCAATACCGACGGTACTTTTTTAATAAAACATTTTTGCAGCTATCCAGGAACGACTACAAAGACTGTGAATCTTGCTTCGTACAACTACCTTGGGTTCGCTGAGAATTCTGGACCATGCGCAGAATCCGCTGAACAGGCGGTCCGCGAGTACGGCATCGCAGGGTGCAGCTCAAGACACGAATATGGTGAGTGACCCCAGATATACAGGGTCTGGATAGGGTCGCTGGAATCTGAGTAATCAATTAAAGTTTTCTGCGATTTCTAGACTTTATGCTATCAATAAATTTTTAAGGCCTAGTCCAAACGTCGTGCCACTGACGTGCTGAACTCAAATGAATTTGGCCCGTTAGTGGTTTCAAACGTCTATTCTGTGAAAGGAACTATCTGCTACTTTGTTTATCGTAACAAATTTACGAAATCCAATATGGTGTGCAACTGATGAGGCTTGTGTTTTAGCGGAATATATTTTGTAGTGCCAATGTTACAGGTTTTTCAACAGTTTTTAAAACTTTTTACATGTTTTAAAGTGTGTCGAAGGAATATCGTTTTTCTAATTCTTTCTTAGCCTCGACAGTGGATATTGCTCGAGCATGCGAATCTTACACAGCCCATAAAGTTCAAAGACTGAAGAAGGCCATATTTTTGCAATATTTGTCCCTTGTGCCAACTACATTGTGTGTGCTGGGTTTGCGGAAGATTTTAGAACATTCCTGTACGTTTGCTACAGTTTTCGTGCGCTAAGAAATATGGGTAAATCTACCAGTCGCAATCTTTTCTCCTGCGGAGGACTGTACAGCTCAGAAAAAAAAAAAAAACTAGCTCAGGAATTGATTATTTCATGTTCCTTTCATGGTCCTAAGCTACCAGTCTTTCAGGTTACATATTATATAGTCAGTATTTGTAATTTAACTTAACGGCCATTTCTGAAGATGTATGTTGTAGCATATGAAAAGTCAAGATTAAAATCATAGCTCTTCGACAGGCGTCGTTTTGTCATGTTTGTCACCGCAGTGTGCCTATTATGTAAATATGGACATCCCAGTCGACTCAGTACTAAATGGAAACACCTGCGATAATTGTATCGTATTGATGACATTTCCTCTTTTCTCGTTCCAGGTACCCTTGCCATTCACGACGAACTAGAAGCCCTTGTCGCTAGGTTTGTTGGTAAACCTGCTGCTATGGTGTTTGGTATGGGGTTCGCCACCAACTCTGCAAATATCCCCACCCTGGTAGGCAAGGGAGACTTGATTATTAGCGACGAACTCAACCACACATCACTGGTGTTGGGAGCAAGATTGTCAGGAGCAAAGATTAAAGTATTCAAACACAATGGTAAGGCTCGCAGCGCAAGCACGAGGGGTTAGGGAAGTAGGTGACGGGGATTTTCCGTGCTATTATTTTTCCTTATTCAAGGAGACTTAACTGTGACCGACACCGACCAGTCCTACTTCCAAAAACAAACAAACAAATAAACAAATCAAGTAAGCGGGACTCTACAGTCTCGTAAGACCGGGAGCTGGGAATAACCGAGATTCAAGAAAAGGAGAAGCGAGATACTTGAAAAGGATGCAAGACTAAGTTGACGTTCGGCAAGTCAAACGATCGACAGCTGACGTTGACTGTCATCAAAAGTTGAGCTTGACCAAAGCGCACAAGAGCGCCTTAGAGTTAGCATTTATCTCCCGACCTTCCTTCCTTTTAGCATACTCTCATGTAAGTTGCCTACACTACACATCTGTATCGTAAATAGAGTCTAAATATTTATCATAACATTCTAGATATGAAGAGTTTGGAGAACATACTACGAGAATCCGTTGTGCAGGGACAGCCGAGGACACACAGAGCGTGGAAGAAGATCCTCATTATTGTTGAAGGTGTTTATAGGTGAGTGAGTGACGCTGCGCGGGCGAGCTCCTCCCGAGATAACGAAAAAGCCCCGTGACACGACGAATTTCCCGATGTAACAATGTTTCAGACCTACAAAGTACCACGAAACTACTCGATATTTAGTGATCTTAAGACCGAACAAATCTCACCGTCAAAGGACTCTTCCTACGGATCATACACCGGGACTTGAATAAGTCATTTTTAAGGACACTACATGGTTACCACGACTTGGACATACCACGAATGAACGCTGAAATAACGGATTCCGACAAAATAATTTACTGAGGCGTTGTCCGAGTCAATATATGCGTGATTTGGGCTCAATTACAACGATTTCAAGCTCGTCTGTGAACGCGACAACTTAGTACATTTTATTTCTTTTTTTCAGTATGGAGGGCTCTTTAGCGAAGCTCCCAGAGATTGTGGCCCTTAAAAAGAAGTACAAAGCATACATATACCTAGATGAGGCCCACAGTATTGGTGCCATGGGTCCCAACGGAAGGGGCGTTACAGACTACTTTGGTGTGGACCCTGCTGATATCGACATCATGATGGGGACATTTACCAAGAGCTTTGGAGCAGCAGGGGGATACATTGCTGCGTCAGAGGTTAGAGGGAGCCGAGCTTCTTTTGTATTGATTGAAGTTGTGTTCAATTAAGGACAACAAGCAGTGCCACATGGAGGTGCATATATCTTATTAGATGTTCTGGTGTGTAGTATCGCTGTATATTTTTACGAGTTGTGCCGTATTTTGACGAGCCCGTAGGGCGAGTCAAAATACAAACAACGAGTAAAAATATACAGCGATCGATACTACAGACCAAAACATCTAATAAGGGATTTATTATCCAACTGCTGTAGTAAATAAATTTATCAATGAAAGAGGGAGAGTGTAACAGTTTTGCGTGCGCGCGCCGACCTGTACGTCAAACAGGTTCTCTACTGTACAAATATGGCAAACAGGTTCTCTACTGTACAAATATGGCAAACAGGTTCTCTACTGTACAAATATGGCAAACAGGTTCTCTACTGTACAAATATGGCAAACAGGTTCTCTACTGTACAAATATGGCAAACAGGTTTTCTACTGTAAAATATCGCTGTATATTTGTACTGTTATTTGGACGGTATTCGCTGCAGTTGGTTAATAATGCTCCATAGCTTTCATTTGAAAGGTCATTCACACTCTAGGATTTGATAAAAATCATTATTTAAAACTGGATCATTGGATAATACAGTTCAAGAGGTTTCATTGGTTTAGCCATCATGGTATCTGAGCAATTTAATGAAACAATTATTCCACTCGCGCGTGTTGAATATGAGATGATCAGCGTGTAACAGTCGGTATTTTCATTTTTGCAGGAAATAATAAACCATATCCGAGGTACTTCGCACAGTGCAGCGTACGCCTCCTTCATGTCACCCCCAGTGGTCATGCAAATACTGTCATCCATGAAAATAATTATGGGCGAGGACGGCACAAACAAAGGTTGGTCAAATTCACACTCCACGCATTCTTCGGAGCCTACATTTCGCTTTTCTTTTGGCCTCCTTTTTCTCCTGAAGTCTTTATTCTTACTGGTAAGCGACAGTTGTCAGAAAAGGTTACAGTAACACGCATGCCCAGTAAGTCGGTAATTTCCACAACATTCCTCGTATCAGTGGCCGCGATCCTTGTCGTTACATTGGACCTCTGTCGACCTCTGGTCAAGTCCAGGTGGAAAATCCACGATCCACGGACTTCCGACGCAGTCTGTTTGGCTGACAAATGAAAATGAGCACTCTGGGCAAGCTCAAAAACTGGGGACTGGTCGAGGACTGGCCAGAGATTGGGATTCTTAGTGCTAACCAGAAGGATCGCGGCCTCAGGGGATGAGAATGGTTTCCATTGCTGCTCGCTTTACGCTAAATTGACAGGTCGATTAGAACGAAGAATCAGGGTGCCAATACCGTAAACTTCCTAAAGTAACGACCCTCCCGAAAGTAGCCAACCCCAAAGGCGGCTAATTTCAAAATTAACGAGGGTCGTTACATACGAAAGTTCACGGTGTGATGAAGACTCCATTACATTGTGTAATCTCTCCTGTAATTTCATTTATTATTTTGTCATGCTGTTGGTCACTGGTTGGTTCTTTCTTTGACCGTAGAAAGTATTCCACTGGAATCCAGTGGCTTTTTCAAAGCTACAGCAACAGGATCTTGTCTGAAGTTGTCTTTTTAAATTTTTTTTTAGGAAAGCAGAGGCTGTGCACTTTAGCACGAAATTGCAAGTAAGTGTAATTATAAAATTATAATGATTTAATTTAGTTCAGAGTTCTATGTACTAACTTAAAGCATGAGGACGAAATCCGATTGGAAATCGAGCAATTTCAGTTTTTAGTCGACAAAAACCTTGCACCAGAATAATTTTACGTACTTTAAAGTTTCCTAAAGCTAAAGATATAAACAGTTGCCTGAAACAACACCGAAAACAATCTCCCATGGGAAATTGTGCAAACACAGGTAAAATTTCATCATCATTTTCATTTCACTAGTACTTTCAAGTGTTTCATATGAACTTCAAAATTTATTTTCGACATTTTGGTGTTGTTAGAAATTAATTTTTTTTGAGAAGATGTTTAAAACAGTCTCACAGAAGTTTGCAATATGATGTAAATCATTTCGGTACAAAGTTTTTGTCCACTTGTTACTCGAACTTCTTGGTGGATTCCTTCGTAAACTATTGCACGTTGCCTCGGGCGAGTTTGCATCAAACCTGAACGTGAGGTGCGGCTACGTGGGAAAATATCTGTTTCCTTCTCACAAAACTTTGCAACAGTGATCATAACTACGGTACAACTTTTGAGGTAACGCGCTGTTTTCTGTACATTACAGGTACTTCAGACAAAGGCTTAAAAAGATGGGATTTATTGTGTACGGTCATGATGCTTCGGCAGTGGTACCAATTCTTCTCTACATGCCGGCAAAAACTGTGTAAGTCAGTTTTATTACCAAAGATGTATGCAAATAAGGTTGTGGCTCTACAGAGATATGATTGGTTATTAAAAGCGCGTGAAAATTCAAAAAAGAGTAATAACCAATCAGACACGCTACACGGACTTCTATAATGACGTCATCAGTATGGCATTTTTAGGGTCCAGACTCCGACGCCTTTCAAGCTAAGGAAGAATGTGGCTTATAATACTTGAAGTGACTAAAATGCTTTATCGTTTGAGGAATTCTTTACATAACCAAACTTGATCACTCACAAGTGTTCAATATTTTGTTGCAGAGCCTTTTCTCGTGAAATGTTGAAAAGAAGCGTAGCTGTAGTCATCGCGGGGTTTCCGGCCACTTCACTGATTGAGGCGAGAGCAAGAATTTGTCTTTCAGCCTCACACACCAGGGAAATGCTGGATAAGGTGAGATGAATCACAAGAACTCTGGATTGCACTGTCGCAATGCTTTTGGGAAACTGACTTAGGCCACCACCAATCAGCTCACAGCATGATCGTGTTGTTGACCAGTCAGGTGTCAGACTTAAGTCGAGGCTGCAGTTACACGAAATTTCCCGCCTTTTCATGC